GAAGTTATGATGAATTGCCAATAAAGAGTTAATAAAGCTTCCAGTAAAGACTATGGTTGTAATTGATGTAAGTGATGTAATTGCACTCACCTATTATATGACTGACATGTTGTGACTGAGTCCTATAGCTTCCATTTGTGGGTAATTGCAACATTGGCTGCTTTACAATATGGTGGCGAGGATTCACTGTGAGAGTGCGTAAGATGTTCTCACACTGTAATGCTCTGTACAAAGTATATGGCATCTGCTGTTTCTCCCTTACCAAGTCCACCTTCATCGAAACCGGGGTTGCTGTACCGATGAGGTCCATCTCTAATGCATTTGTTTTCATAAAGACTTCAGACTGTCAAAGGTGCTATGTCTTCTTTGAAAAAAAAAAAAAAGATAACAACAACAGACAGATCTGTGTTGGAAGAAGGACAGCCAGATGCTTCTGGAGAGGAAGAATGTCAAGATTTCGTCTCCCAGCTTTGGACATGCTATCAGGAGGGACCAGTCCCTGGAGAAGGGCATCATGCTTGGTAAGGTGGAGGGGCAGTGAAGGAGAGGAAGGCCCTTGACAAGATGGATTGACACAGTGGCCACAACAGTGGGCTCACCACGAGGACTGAGTGTCAGGACGGCACTGGGCAGGGTTTCATTTGGTTGCACGTGGGGTCGCTCAGAATCAGAACTGGCTGGATGGTACGTAAGAGCAACACCATACCTTCCTGATTCCTGCAGTCATCTTGCGGGGCTCACCATGGGAAGAGATTGGTCTGGAGCTTTCTCAGTAGGGCATCCTTCACCTCCTTGTTGCGGAGGCTGTAGATAAAGGGGTTGAGCATGGGGATTATAATGGTGTAGAAGACAGATACCACTTGGCCATTGGCATCATTAGTGGATCCATGGGGCTGGACATAGGTGAAAACCACAGTGCCATAGAAAATGGCAATAGCCAGAAAGTGGGAGGCACACGTGGAGAGGGCTTTTTCTCGTCCAGCTGCAGAGCGCATCCTCCCAATGGCTGCCAAGACCAAGCCGTAGGAGGCGAGGATGACTGCAGCAGGAAGCAGCGTAACCAGTGCAGAGAAGACATAGAGAACCGATCCTGCTGTGGCGGTGTTGGCACAAGCTAGACGCAGAAGGGGTGGGATGTCACAGAAGTAGTGTGTGACCCGGTTGGGTCCACAGAAAGGCAGGGCAAAGACATTCCCAGTCTGGATAGCGGAATTGACTCCACCAAATGCATAGGAAGCAGCCACCAGCTCGAGACAGGTCCCTTTGGTCATGACGGAACCATAGTGGAGGGGTCGGCAGATGGCCATGAAGCGATCGTAGGCCATCGAGGCCAGAAGGAAACTCTCGGTGGTCACGTGGATCACAAAGAAGGTCAGCTGGATCACGCAGCCCTCAAAAGAGATGGACTTGTCAGAGGCCAGAAAGTTGACCAAGAGCTTGGGTGTGACCACCGAGGAGTAACAGATGTCAAGAAAAGAGAGGACACTGAGGAAGAAATACATTGGGCTATGGAGACGCGTGTCTGTGAAGATGAGGGCCATCATCCCCAGGTTGTCCACCACTGTCATGGCATAGATGGTCAGAAAGACTCCAAAGAGAAGCTGCTGTAGGTCTGGATAATCGGAGAAGCCCAGCAAGATGAATTGGGTGACTGGGGTGTGGTTGCCGCTGGCAAGGGCTAGCTCTCCAGGTGTCATCTGCAGATGTGACAATTGATAATCACTCAAACAGTGTTACTAGAGCATGTCCACCATGGTCCAAGGTATAGTGAGGGAGGCCACCAAGCAAGTAGAAGGCTCCTCTTCCAAGACGTTAAAGGGAAGCCTCATTCCAATGTAGAAAGGGCTCTGAAGACAGACAGACCTGAATCCTAATCCTGACTTTGGCATGAACTAGTTTTGCATCCTTGGATAAGCTGTATCTATGAGCCTTCCTTTCGGAGTCTGAGAAATGGAGAAAATAGACCTACTTCTTGCATGGTTGTGTGGCCTAAATGGAAAAAAAATATGAATGTTGAATATCTGAGAAGTAGTAGGTGATCAATAAATGTGAAGGCTCTTCCCAATCTTTGGCATCTGCCTCTATGAGATATATTTAAAACTCTAGTTGGAAATTACTATATTTTCTGCCTTTAAAAAAACCATCAGGTCCTAGGGGAGGGTGGGAGGAGAAAGGGGCAATCGATCATAAGGATCAACCTATAATACCCTTGTAGGGGGACGAACAATGGAAAAGTGGGTGAGGGGTGACGGAGGACGATGTGAGGTACAGAAATAATAATGTATAACTTATCAAGGGTTCGTGAAGGAGGGTGAAAGTGGGAGGGAGGAGGAAGAAACGGGGAGCTAATATCAGGGGCTCAAGTGGGAAGAGAATGCTTTGAAAATGATGGCAGCATATGTTGGCAGCATATGTGCAAATGTGCTTGACACACTGATGAATGTATGGATTGTGATAAGAGATGTAACAGCCCCCAATGAAAGTATTTCACACACACACACACACACACAC